TCCGGTCTTTACCAACACTACATGCCCATCCTGGCTCACACCCAGAAACCCACGAGCTTAAATTACAATTCTCGTTAGGCTTCAAAAAAACAGTCCCCTGTAATCGATCATCCTGCTTAGAGAAGCTCTCAAAGTATAATTTTATCTCAGCTGCTGTGCACAACCGCTGCATCATATCTCCTATATTCCCATGCATTAGAAATGTAAAAAAGGAAGTCATATATAAACAGAGTTAAAGATATCAATTTGGTTGAAGTAACCTTGGGTTTTTCTGGCACAATTGGACAAGAAACTTGTATCTTTTGAGAAATTAAATGCCTCATTCCAATCAGCATCCCTGCAAATGAAGAGAATGCACTGCACCGTTACTGCTCCATGAAATGCTTAACAGAGTATCGTCACTATGTTCCGATCCTGTGATCTAGAGACTTACACGTCGGTGATGCAGAAACCAAAATGCTTGGAAATGTCATCCTTTAAGACAGAGGTGAGATTAGAGAAGCGAGAGTAAACCATGTTATTTACCGTCTGAACTCCGGCCGGATTGTTTTTAAGATCATGAACTGATCCAGACGGACGGTGGTCGTCATCATCGTCGCCTTGGCCAACAATCTGCCGCGGAAAGCTCAGGACGAGTATCCAAACAAACAAGAATCTGCATTTAGCGGCGACCTTCCTTCTAATCATTTCTAATCTTCAACAAATCTTCTGAATTTCATAAGATTGTTGCTTGCACATGAACAATTTCTTAAGATTGTTTCCCAAGATGGAATTTTGCGGAAACCAGAAAATTTTGTTTGGTCATTGAAAATGGAAATGTATTTTTTTTTTTATTGGAGGAAAGAAATGGAGGGGAGAAAGTGATGCCTAATCTTAAGGAAATATGTTGGATTTATAATTTTGACAGTTGCATAAATTGTTTCTGGAAATTTTTTTCAATGCTCTTTCAATTATGTTTGGTTTTTTTTTTTGGTTTCCGTCCGCTACATGGGTTTCTTCTCGATTAATTCAGATCGACTCAGGTTGCGCACATGAAAATGATGGATAAGTCTCTCAACGAAGACTGTTACGTATACAAAATCTCAAACTCGAGATATTATTTAAGTTGGAACAAACTGCTTACCACTTGATCCAACCTCTCGTTGGTCAATTATGTTTGTTGTTGGAATCAAAATATATGGAATTCAAACCAAACAGAAAGCACTATTTGAAGGTGCTGATTTAGTTATAATTTTTTCTTGTTATTGTATAATGTAACGTATTAGATGTATAAATTAATAAGTAAATGAGGTTATTTTGAAAAAAATACAAGTAAAAGATAGGTACGTTTATAAGATAACCTAGTATTATAAATATAATATTTTTACTGTTTTTAATAATTAATTCATACTTTTTAATTTATCTTTTTAGTTTAGTTTAAACTATATGTATAATTTTAATTGGAAAAGGGATTAATGTTTATCCACCATATTTTTTAAAAATTAAGAAAAAAATTATATCAAAATTATGTAATTTTAATAAAACACTACAAGAAAAGATAAAAAATACTTTAATTTATATTTTAAAAATAAGATATTTTATTCTTTTTTCAATGAGAGGTACGTTTATAAGATAACCTAGTATTATAAATATAATATTTTTACTGTTTTTAATAATTAATTCATACTTTTTAATTTATCTTTTTAGTTTAG